TGATCAAGCCCTACCCATGGAATCCATTTGCAGTACTGAAGCTAGTTTGACTCTCCCCCATGGATACTCTTGCCAAACTCATTGCTCATCCTTGGCTTCCCAGAGCTGCTGCTGACGCATTAAGGGCTGACCTGGGCTCCTCAGTTTCTCCACTGGGCTCAAGGTCTCCAGGCCCAGCTGTCTCTCTTTCCTGGTGCATCCTTTTCCATTACCTCTCTGCAAAGGGAAGGCCAGTTATTGTATGCCAGGAAATGGCAGCTCCCTGCCTGCCTGCCCTGATCTCGCAAAGCCCAGCCTGGCTCCGGTCTCATTGTCTCCAACTTCACATCCTCCTGTCTCAAGCACTCCCAAAAGCTCCACGGGTGGAGGGAGCCAGCGAAAGTGGGTGCTCTGCGGCCATGCTCACTTGGCAGCGTGGGTAAGGCAGACCCGCTTCAACCCTGCATGGAGCTGGCCTCAGCAACCTCAGCATGCCGCCTCGCCTGGTCAGGACTCTGAGGCACGAGTGGGATTAATGTCATCATAACCTGGATAGCCATGAAGCCCCGGAATGCAATGGAAACTCTCCTGAGAGCCCTAGGAAGAAAAGAGAGCACCCAAATGTCAAGTAGCCTCCGGGTAGGTGTCTAGCAAGAAGCCAAGGGGGGGAAGGTGTTAGGGGAAATAGACAAAAGAGGGGGGATGTACAAGCTTTTCTTTGCAAGCTATAGGGAGAAAAAACTCTTTGAATGTCCACATTATTTTATGCATCTGGTGAAGTTGGCTTTAAGCTGCAGAAGTTCACGCCAGAGTAAATTTGCTTGGGCCAAGCCATACATTACGAGAAACATAATTTTTCCAGCGTCACTTTTTATTGCAAAGAAACAGCGGCAGAGAGGCCCCAATCCAGAAAATGCTTGTGATTCAGTGGGGGAGGGGGCTCACAATGTTTGTTCGCTAACCGCCTACACACACACACACACACACACACACTCACCAGTTACTATTTGGTTCCCATAGGAACATTTTGTAAAGGAATATCTTAATGTTTGCTCTCTACAGCTGACTTAATGTGACCACTTTTCCAGAGCATCATGAACAGCCATTGTCCCTTGCCCCAGTCTAAAAGTAAAGATATTTTTCTGTATTTTTCCTCTTTGTTTTCCCTGCTGCCAATGAGGACAACAGTTTTTTTCCTGGAGTCCAAGGTGGAATTTGCCTTACTTTCATGCTCAGAATCTTGAGAACCAATTTGGATATTTGCTTTTTATTGACACAAATCTTAAAGCCCCAGCTGGATGACAGTTGGTTGGCCAAATTCCAGATCAGCCTATTTGAGCCACTTCCTGTCATATATTTTAAGAAACAGCTCTGTTAATATATCTTTTTGAAGTGATGCAGGATGAAGGGTATTTTTGTTTTCTTTTGAGTTCCCCCCTCCTCCAGATAACTAAGTACATGTCAGTCTAGGTGGGGCAAGGGAGGGCTGGTAACAGGGCTTTTAGTTAAAATGAGGTGGCTACCAGCATGGTGTAGTGGTTTGAGAATACCTCTGGAGACTAGGGTTCAATTCCCAGTTCAGCCATGAAACCCACTGGGTGACCTTCACCAAGTCACATGCTCTCAGCCTCAGGGGAAGGCAATAGCAAACCACCTCTGAAGAAATCCTGCCAAGAACCCCCATGATAGATTCACCTTAGAGTTACCATAAGTCAGAAATTACTTGAAGGCACACAACACACACACACACACACCTTAGGTAACCAATTTGGGATGAAAGCTGAGTGTGGTGCAGTTTTTACTATATTAGTTTTCAGTTCCCAGGAATGATGGAAGATGCACAGAGAAATGGCTTTCGGCGGGCAGGCAGCCCCATATAAAAGAATTCCTCCCTGTGAAATTTTCTGTAAATCTCCAAATTTCTAGCATTTCAGTGAGTGAGACATTGAAAATCATTGACAACTAGAATGCTTACATTCACTGTGCTTGCATTCCCTTGACTTTAAGTGCTGCAGCAGCATTCTATGGAATCCTGGAATTTGTAATTTTGCAAGGCCTTTAGCCATGGCCACAAAAGGAGTGCTGGTGCCTCACAAGGCTATGAATCCTAGGATTCTGTAAGATAGAACCATGATCCCTAAAGAGCTGTCAAATTACATTATCTCTGCAGTGTAGATGCATGCCTAGAGAGGTTGACTTTTGCCCAAGATCACCCAGTGGGCTTCCATGGCTGAGCAGGGGTCTGAACCCTGGTCTCTCTGAGTCCTAGTCCAACACTCAGACTACTATTCCAAGCTGGCTTGATTTGGGACCTTTTGCCTGCTCCTTTTCTTTGGACACTTAAACTATATTTCTAAATGCTGAATTTAAGTTTTAAGTTATTGCAGTGCTAAACCAGCCAACGAGTAGCATCATTGGGGGGGGTAACGGACTGCACCAGGTGACACCCCAGAAAGGGGGGGGTGTCACCTGGTCAGCTTCCCACTGCCACGGGCACTGCTTCATCCCGTGCGAGCTCCTCGGGGCCACATGGGCGCTGCTTGGGGCTGCGCTCATGCTGCTCTGGCCCGAGGTTGCTGCTCTGCCTCCCGCAGGCACTGCCCAGGGCTGTGCAAGTGTCCCTCCAACTGAAATAAGCTGAGGACAAAGGGGGAAAGTGGGAAGAGAAGAGAGAAACTGAGACATTTTATAGCTAGCTTAAAAGCTGAGATGATAGAGGATTCATCAAGGCAAAAAGGTATTTTAAAAGATTGAAATTTGAAATTTAAAAAAATGAAAAGTAGATAGGAAACAGTGGAAGGGCTCATGCGCCAGTGCAGTGTGTTGTACAAGTTCAGCAGCTCAGGATGCTGCTACTGTGCTGATACAAATCCAGTCCTGTATCCTGTTAGTAGTTCCAACTAGAGGAAAGCCATTGTAACATTTGAACAGTCACCCCTTCTTTTTTGCGGGGGATCCATTCCAGACACACTCACCCGCAAAAATAGAAATTCACATATATTCAAGCCCAATTGGCTTGAATGGCCACATGCTCCTGCTTGTGGCCCTGCATGTGTGCCCTCACCGCTCTGTGAATAATCAAGACTGCAGACTTCAAGTCTGCAAAAATAGAGGGGTGACTGTATTTACATTGTGCTGATTCATTGGTCAGCAGTCCATTCAATGAGCCTACACTAGTATGAGACCAGTAGTCCCCAGAGTGCAAGGTGTGGAAGGTATAGAAAGAAGGGGAGAGCTGACATCTTAACCCAGTCTCTCCCAGATGATGATGATGATGATGATGATGATGATGATGATGATGATGATGATGATATGTACCGTATTTTCCGGCGTATAAGACGACTGGGTGTATAAGACGACCCCCCACTTTTCCAGTTAAAATATAGAGTTTGGGAAGAGTATGACTTCCAAAACTGTTGTTGTTGTTGCTGTGCACCTTCAAGTCATTTCCAACTTATGATGACACTAAGGCAAACCTATCATGAACCTCCTTATACCCGGCGTATAAGATGACCCCCCCACTTTAACCCCAGATTTTGCAGGTTAAAAAGTAGTCTTATACGCCAGAAAATAAGATATGTCTTACCTGCCTTTCTGCATGGATCAAGACAAGAAACAAAACAAATCTGTAATGCATAATATCAATTAAAACTTTCAGATCAGTGATAGCCTTCAGATCAGTGCTAACCCTCAAGAGTTTGGGGAATTAACATTAGCACAATAGTAGCAATGTCTACGGGCTGTGTTATATAGCCTTGGGACCAAATCCCTGTGTATACCAAGTCCAGAAACATTAAGAATTCCATAGTCAGCGTTCTAAACAAGTAATGTGTTTCATTTTAAAAGGAGAAATTGACAATCATATGAAAACACACAATCATGCATGCTCACAAGGACTAAGAAATTCAAAAGTGTTGTGTTGGAACAGAGTAGGCCAGACTAACGGAGATACTACACCTGAATGAATAGCTGCTCCTCTTGTTACAGGTCCAGAGATGAAAGGGGAACTCAATTGCTCCTGAGGCAAACGGGTTGGCGAGCGAAAGAGGAGCTAGCTGAGTTAAACTGGCAGCATGCCTGCCTATTGCTAGACTAAGTCAAAGAAACAAAGGAAGAGCACCAATATTTATAGTGAACTTCAACCCTGGGGCAAAATTCAAGGTATTGAAAAAGGCCAAATGGTGGTGCCTTCTTTGAAATGGGTTTGGATCACTTTGATGTTGGTCTTCTGAAGTGATAACATTGTGGTGTAAATGTGAGTGTTGGCACGCATTTCTGAGGTAAGAGGGATTAGCGCGCAGAGCTACCTGAGTTGTTGATTCTTTGGCGTCAGCCCATTGTTGGTATTTTTCACCTTGTCCAGAGTGTCCAGAAAAACAGAGCCCAAGCGACGCCTAGTGCTAGCCTACGGGGATGGAAGAATTCGTAATGACATCCACATTCGGGTCATAGAAGAGCCATTTGACCTGTTTTTTATTGCTACTCTGATATCAAAATAGGAGGGGTCTCTCCAGTGCTAATAGCTTAATAAAAAAAAAAATCTCGAAGCTTTTTGCTGATGCACTGTTGGAGTAAAGTGGCAGCAGTTACTTTGAACCAGAGCCTCTAAGGGTCAGGCCACACTGCAAAATTAATGCAGTTTGGACCACTTTAATGCAACCCCAACCCCCCCCCCCCACTGAACAAATCTTGCCAAGAAATCCCTTGATACCTTTGCCTTAGGGTCACCATAAATCAGAAATGACTTGAAGGCACACCACAACAACTTTTCAAACACTGCAATGAATAAGAGCAATTAATTACTTATTAAAAAGTAACTTTGCAAGCATAAAAGCGAGCAAAATTCCAATGGTAGGCCTGCCTTCCCAATCAACCAGGGGCTGCATTTCTGCTGCAAAACTATGCATCCTTGTAAGATGGAACTTCTTGCAAGGAGGGTGCAGGAGCCACCATAGAGCCAGCACATTTCTTTGCTAAACCCCCTCCTTCCTGTTGGGAAGAAAAGATAGAAAAGGTTCTCAAGGCTGAATGGGGATTCGAACCCTTGTCTCCGGAGTTGTAGTGCAGCATTCAAACCACTATACTACACTGCCTTCATTAGTTGATTAAGTGTTTCTGTAGATTTAGTGAAGATACTTTTGTATGTCATTTAATGTCACATCATAACAACACACCTGGTTTGGGGGTGGGGGGTTGATGTTTATTTGACAGAATGTACCTAATCCTGATTTATACACAGTTATATCAGAGTTTGGTAAATTACTTTATAAAAAGTAATCAGTTACCATTAATTTTCAAGGTATCGAATTCCTACTGTGCCACCATTATAGTTAGACTTTTGAAAGTAACTTTAATTACTTCAAGAAAACCAGAAATGCCACAAGGTTTCTGACCTGTGGTACAAAACACACACCTAAATGATGAGATCATACATATCCTTAAATATGAAAGAAACTAATCACACTTAAAATGGAAAAGGAGCAAAAAGATCCCTTATTATCACAGTGTAACTGGTTACTGAGGGAAATAAATTAATGACAAGTAATCTGCTATTTGTAACATGTTAGCTCTATACTGTTATGTATGTTTGGATTATAATTTACATTTGTAGGTGCAGATTTAGAAAGGGCAATAAGTGATGTGAGATCTCTGAGAACCTGAAAGGAAGCTGTTTCTCTTCAGTACTGACACTTCACACTCTTTGTCTGCTGGCTTTGGATTCAGCCCAGAAAGGAAATCCTTCTCCAAAGTGTCCTTCTCAGCAGAACTGAGACAGGAAGGATGGACCTGGTACATCTGTACGGAAAATCCTTCAAGGCTCTGAACCTTTTGCTTGTTCTTGTTACCAAGGCAAGGAGAGGGAGCAGAGAAGGGAGCAAAATCTTCTCCTTCCCAATAGGCTCAGGCGGCAGCCTCTTCTCACTTGTCTCTTCTTCCTCATGAATAACTTTTGCCACACTCTCATGTTGCTTGGCCATGTGTGCCCAGGTTTTATCCATGGTATGCTTTTTTCCCCCTTTTCTTTTACCAAAGCAAGGGGTATGGGGGAGGATTTTGGTCTCAGTGTTGGCTTGAGGTTATCATCCTACCCATGCTTTCTAAGGGAGGGGTAAGTAACCTGTTTTGACTTGGGGATGAATTTCCAGTTGAGCAGGAGGCTTCAGGACAGTATTCCAGGAGGGGAGTAGATCATGAATACAGGGTGGGACCAAAGCAAAGACAGCAGGGCTAGCCAACCAACCTGGGCATTTCCCCATTCAGGGTAGCTCAGTTATACGCATGCTAACACAGCAGTGATCCCCAATGCCCACGCTCCTGGGCTGGAAATGACAGCTCACTTCCATTCAACTCCTTCCCAAACTGCAAAGCAACTGGTAGCACTTCAGTGTAGACATGCATACAATCAAGCTGGCTCTATTGTTTTGTTGTTGTTGTGTGCCTTCAAGTTGTTTCTGACTAATGGTGACCCTAAGGGACTCTCATGGCAGGTTTCTGCAGATGGGGTTTGCTATTGCCATCCTCTGAGACTGAGAGAGTGTGACTTGCCCAAAGTCACCTAGTGGGTTTCCATGGATGAGCCATAATTCGAACCCTGGTCTCCAGAGTAATAGTCCAGCACTCAAACCACTGTGCCACGCTGGCCCTCATACATCCCTCTTATTTCTGATCCTATGTGCTTGCAAACCTGTGAATGCTTAATGCAGTTTCCTCCTAAAAGAAGAGGAATTTATTTCTGAATAAGGGCCTAAATACCCTAAAGGCATCAGATCCCATCTGACCTTGGAAGCTAAGCAGGATCAGCCCTGGTTAGTACTTGGATGGAAGACTGCCAATGAATACCAGTTGCTGTAGACTACATTTCAGAGGAAAGAATTGGCAAAAGCACATCTGAGTGTTCCTTAAACCCTATGAAATTCATGGGTTGCCACAAGTGGACAGGCAACTCAAAGGTGAACAAGCATGTGCGCATGCACACACACATACCAAGACTAGGACTGACTGCAAAGACCTGTATTTATTACTTCTTGGTTTGTATGCATTTGTCATTGTGTAAAATTCCTTCAGAGATCAGTCAGCTGGTTTTGGTGAGATGTCTGTTACCAAACATTTGCACTGATGAGTTCCCAGGGAAGAAATTAAAGTGACGCTCTCTCAGATAGACTTCCAAGCTTTTGATTTAGGCTTCATGTGTAAAACATGGGGTTTTGTTTAACCAGCAATTTTGAGGAAGAGGATTTCCACCTCCCCAACCCAAAAAACCCAAGCTAGAGGGAGGCGCAAGAAAATTCCCAGGTTTCTTCAGACATTCCTGCATGCTTACCAGCTCTTATTCCAAGCAGTGCTGGGAAACTCAAACCAGGAGAAAGGGGGTGGATGGGTGAGAATCAGGAAATGACATTTGCTTGTAAATCAGGAAAGAGGAAACTGACTGGATTTTATTTATTTTTTTCCTTTTTGCAGTGATGAGCTGCGTGACTTGCAGAGTAGGCAGGAGGGGGGGGCTTGCAAATTAATCTGCTGGGCACAATGAAATCATCAGAATTTACATTTGTTCTCAAATGGTCCTTCAGTGCAAGGGAGGAGGTTTGAAAGCATGGATATCTTGACAGATCCTATTTTTAAAAGTCCTGTTCCTGACCTCCAGAGCCCAGCCTGCTATTCTTAAGCGGTTGCCCAATTCCCATGAGATTTCGTGAGTTATGGAACACTGTGTTCTGCTGAGATGGAAAGCCTCCCATCCCTTTGCACAGCTGTACTTCAGTGCAGGAGGTCAGAGAGATTGGCTGAGACTGCCCATAGATTAGCTCTAGATCATCATAGAGATAGCAGTGAATGATATCTATACAGTCTGAAGCAGCTATAGCATTCAGGACAATTTTTTTTCTCCTGAAGTGCTGGTTTGGGAAGTGAGTGGCCCAAAAAACCCAGTGAGGTTGGCAGAGCTTAGGGAAAATAAATTTTAAGGACTACAACTCCCAGAATCCTCTAGTCTGCATAGTATACCGTCCAACTGATCCAGTTTGGCAGGGATGGTCCAGATTAATCCCACATGTTCACTGCTGCTTTTAAAATGTCCACTTTCTCTTTTTGTCCTTACTTCAGTTGCTGTAAAGTGAGTTCAAAGTGAAAAGTAGTTTGTCTTCAGTTAACTCAGAAGGCAGGGAGGTGGGCAGAATTTTGCCCTTCCCAGTAGCCTCAGGCAAAACCATACTGCTGCAGCCTGCCTACCTTGTGTGTTTCTTCTCATTAATAATATTTGCCATCTTGACCACACTCTAATCTTGTCCCGAACACAGTCCGAGCAATCAGCCAAAGGCTGGTTGTACATAGCTGATAGCCAGCAACTAATGAGTAAGCAGAGTCAAAGAGTAGCTTACAGTTCAGCAAACAGTGTCCGAGACAAGTAAATGGCATCCAGAGTCAACAAACACAGTCCAGGTCAGCACAGAGTTCAAGAACATGATAGGGAAGTCACATACAACAACTGGAAGATACGGCTGGAAATGTCTAGATCAACAGCTGCTGCTTAATTAATTGCTGCTTCCAATAAATCATCCAAGAC